GCCAGCCTCGGAGCAACCCACATGGCAGGCGGACCCCTCCTGTCTTGCCTGCTGCTCCCCTCAGCAGTGTATTTTGTCAGTCTGCCTGTTCTGTTCCCTGCTCTGTCTCTGGTGAATCCTTTCACCCTCTTGCGCACCTGGCCTGTACCCCAATTCTTGTATAAATAAAATAAATCTAAAAAAAAAAAGACACCCTACCTAATGGGAGAAAAATGTGCACATCATACATTTTATAGGATATACAGAGAACTCATACAACTTAACAACAAAACAAAGAAGCCTATCAAAAATATTGAGAGGGCTAAACAGATGCTTCTTCAAAGAAGTATAGAGATGGTCAAGTGGCACATGTAAAAATGCTCTCATCTCTTATAATTAGGGAAATGCAAATCAAAGCCACAATGAGATACCACCTCACATATGTGAGGATGGCCAATAACAAGCAGACTAGAAACAAGTGTTGGTGAGGAGAAAAAGGAGGGAGTTTTCAGTGATTAGGTGTTGGGAGAATGTTGTCTAGTCAAGTCTCTATGGAAAACAGTATTAGTTTTCTCAAAACATTAAAAATATATCTACTATATAACCCAGCAATCCCACTCTTAGGTATCTACCCAAAGAACAATAAAACACTAATTCAAAGAGATATGTGGATTCCTGTGATCATTGCAATACTATTTATAATAGCCAATGGATGGAAACAACCTATGAATTCATCAACAGATGATTACATAAATACTACTGCTTTACAAAAAAAATGAAATCCCATTTGTGACAGCATGGAGTGAATGCCAAGTGAAATAAGTCAGAAGGAGAAAGAAAAATACCAATAGATATAGTTGATCCCCAGAATACGGGCAAAGAATCATATTCCAGCCTCCTCAGACTCTCCCTCTCACTAAATGATTGGCAGGATTACAGACCTGAATTAGAGCCATCATCTCACTTAAGTTATGTGACCTTTTCCATTATAAAAGCACACTTTAGTAAAACTTAACTGGGCTATGACCACAACAAATAATTAACAGATAATATGACATTTATATTAATGAAAAACATATAGAAAGGTTATTTCTACTACAAACAGCAGACTACAATTAAAACAAATCTCATACTCTAATAAAAAGTCTATGAAATGATTACCTTAACTCTTTATAGAAAAAGAAAAATCCACCAACCAAGAAAATATTACCACACAAACTACTGGCCAAACCTGAAAGGAACAAAATTCCACCATACTTTTGTCTCAGAGTAATAATATTTGAGAGATGGTGTAAAGGTAAGGAGTGAAGTGTGTTATTTGAGGTGCCATGTGGAATCTAAAGGAAAATCGATGGCTATCATATAGTGAGTGCCTGCTAGGTGCCCTTGGCTGAATTTTGTTCTCACAACTCTGCAAAACAGTCACAATTTCATTGTTAAAGATGAGAGATGAAGACCCAAAGCCACAGCAGGGCCACAATTGGACTAACTTCTGAGAGATGACAAGTGTTCTCAAAGTGATTGAAACAAACTTATTAATTGCTCTAAAATATTTCTGTGGAGGGTAAGGAATTAGAAATATGTGCCACCAACTCCAAATATAGTGGCAATAAGAATTCTATTTTCACCTCTAAATTTTTTCTTTAAATTCAGCTTTCAGGTTTTGTTACTTGAGATTTAGTACTGACTGACTCTATTCAAGTCAACTGATATTTCAGTCAGTTCATCAATGAATAGACAGGCTTAGGGGGAAAAAGTCTCTTTAGAGAAAGTGTCTCAGCAGGATTTGAATGGGCACTGGGGAGGAGCACTCCCCTTTCAGTTACTCAAGGTGACCCCTCTCCCCAGTCCTCAGGCAATCTTAGAAAGAAAATAGAGTTGAAAGCACAGAAGTAGAAAGAACTGCACCCCCTCCACCAAAAAAAAAAAAAAAAAAAAAGTGACACTCAGTGTGATCTTCTCTCCTTTTGCTCTTTCCCTCTCAGAGTTATATGCAACTGCATATCACTACCTTCAACTTCTCTAAAGTTCATTTTAAATAGACTCGAGTGGTGTTAGATTTTAGAATCTGTGTGATTTTTATGTTTCTAAGTGATTGAAAGGGGTAGCAATAGGAAAGCTGCTTTGTGGCATGTTGCTATTGAAGATAAAATAGGGAATGAGGGTAATAAATGCTTTTTATGTTTTGCTGTGATTATTTTATTGAATCTTATCCCCACAGAGGTTGGTGAGGTGAGATTTTATTATTTTCACCTATAAGCTGGAGGTAGAGTTAAGTCCAATTAGGTATTGAATGTCACACCAGAAAGGATAAGTGACTTTGGTCTCTGTCCAAAATAAAATACATTAAAGCAGCATTTTTCTAGGATTATCCATGGGCTCCAGGAGATAATTTTGTAAATACAGTTTCTTAGTCAAATATATTTGAATAATCTCCCTTGCTATCTGTGTCTCCAGAGATAAACAGTACAGATATTAAAAGTTCCATAAAGTCATATAATTAAAAAGAGTAACAAGAACTTTGTCTATTTAACACAGCATTATTTCCTATAGTATTTTTGGTTTGTTTGTTTAATGTTTGTTTATATTATCAAAACATGTTTTTGCAAAATGTTCCACGAAGATATACAGTTTCTCTTACCATACAAGACATAAAAAATACTTGCCTCTGACGAGGATGCACCAAAATGATCAGCAGTTAAGAAAGAAAGAGAGAAGGTGAGGGAAAGAGATAGAAAGAAGGGCCAGAGGATGTGTACCTCTTACTTCACCTTGCTATTTTTGTCAGTGTTTATTTCCAACTATATCACTTCTCCCCAGCCTAGCCCCTCTGCTTCAGTTGGTTTTATCTATGTGACTGTATCCCCTATGCACACAAAAACACAAAGCACTTTAATTGGATTATCTACTCTCATTCAACAAACAAACCAAAAACCTCACTATTTAACTATGAGGCACCCTAATGACCACAGAAAGACAGAAATTAAAACATAGTTCTTATCTTGGAGGATCTCCCCACCTATTGAAAGGGGAACAGGCAATTATAAAATAATATGGTCCAACAAGACAAGATCCACTCCTTGTGAGGAGTATCCAGCACAGGGAGAAGTCATGCTGCAGGTGGATCACAGCGTTTTCTTGCTTCCTTAATAGCTACTTTCTAGAAAGTGGTATTTGTTGATCTGGGTGATAAATAGACATTAATAAAACAGAGCATAAGGGAAATGCTCTCTACCAGTGCATGTAGGTGAGGAAAGCTAATTCATTTGGAATCCTGCATGATCATATCTCAGGAAACATATAAGAGGGGGCTAGCTGACAAGCCATACAGATACAGATATAAATCAATATAGACAGAGGTAAAGATAGAGCAATCCAACATAGTAAGGATTTTGTACTTTATCCTGAAGAGAATATAATTATTGATTAAATATCACTTTTAGCCACTTTGTTCCTTCAAATAGCTAAAGATTATTCTACCATTTGTAACTGTTTATTCTTAAATCTCAAATTCCTTCTTTCATTTTATAGACATTTCCAGTATCTATCTATAGATCCAAGTCAAAATATTTAAGTCCATGACACTATAATTTCCCCAACTGCATCTTCTGTGAACTTTCATATTTACAGACTATATGATTCATGTTACCTTAGAATTTCTTTTATAAATATGTGTGGTTTTTACAGAAATATCTGCCAAACACTTCCAAAACACGGAACCATATCATGTATCCTTGAAATACTGTGGTGGTTTCCCAACCTCCTGGTATTCATTCCTTTGTGTAATGCCTTTCTCTTGATTGGGCTGGACCTAATGACTCACTTAATACAAACAGAACACTGTAGAAGTGACAGGGTGTTGTTTCCAAAAACAAATTACAAAAAGTCTGAGTTCTCTTTCACTCTCATCACTGCTCTCTTTGAGAAAGTCACCTGCCATGTTGTGAGTTGCCTTGTGGAAAAGTTACTGTAGCAAGGAGTGCTAACTCCAACTACTTGAGCCATGAGTGAGTCTGAAAGCCCCCAAGCCTATTCCAGCAGAACCTTGAAGTGCCTGCAGCCCCAGAGAACATTTGAATTCAGGCTTCTGTGGGGCATTGACTGAACCAAAGATGTCTGTCTGTATCTACAGTCTGGTCAAAATAAATCCACATTTCCACTATTTCCCACTTATATTTATATGCAAATGATTGGTAGGTAGATAAACCTGAAGGAAAAAAACTTCAGTATTGGTAGTTCACTGAGTGAGCAGTTACAAAGTATTATAAAAAGGACAAGGGATAGATTACTAATTAAAGAATTTCAATGAATCATTCTGAACTATTCCTCTAACCAGAGCAATGAGTGAACTGTCAAATCTATGGGCAAATAAAAAGTGATTTTAGGTTACTAAATATTGTAGGATTATAAGGCGCTAAGTTAAGCCATTTACTTGAATAATCACCCATTCACTTATTAAATAATTTTCTAGTTAACTGAATAATCATCTAGAGAGCTGAAAAAAACAGACATCGTAAATGTGACATTGTTCCATGGTTACACAAGATGTTATCACTGCGAGCCACCAGATGAAGGGTACATGGGACTACCCTTAACTTATTTTTGTTTTGCAATTTCCTTTTATTCTATAATTATTTAAAAATAAATGTTAAAAGGGGAGGTAGAAAATAAGAGCTAGCAAGCTAGCTAGATATGTATTCCAGGGTTTTCCCCTCAGAGATTCTTATTCAGTATATTTAGAGTGAGATCCAATAATTCATATATTTTAATCAGTAATTTGGATAATTCTGACGTCCTGCTGTGATCGGCAGCCCTGGAATTTCACAATATAATACTTTTACAGAAGTCAGAGGAAGTTTTCAAATAATTTCTTCTTGATAAACAATTAGCTAATTACAGTGAAATTTCTGGGGGTGATGGGAGAAAAGGGAACAAGTATCTATGTATCTCCTGCCCCTACTGCATCTCTCACCCAGGCATGACAAAATACATTCACCTGGATCTCCCAATCTTCTACTCACCTCCACATTTGTCTGTCCTGGATTTCACCAGTCTTCATAAAAAAAAACCATTAACACCTTCTAAATCTCTTCAATACCAGCAACCTCCATCTTCAATCCACTGGTCTACAGAAAACTTCTTCCTATAACAGAAGTAAACAATCCAAATGTTGCTTTCAGCAATCCAATGTGAAGTGTAACTTCATGGCTCTTTCCTCTAAGGATAAAGACAAAGCCCCCAGGACTAAAGGAGTCTGTAGTGAAACTACACAGAAGGACTCCAAGGTCCCAAATACAAAGGTATAACTATCCAGGATCTCTCTCTGTTCCTGAATGTGCTAGCATTTCCATAAGCTAGAAGTTCCCATATAAGCATCTATTTGGGAATAACACTATAAACTATTCCAGGTTAGTGATCTGGTTTGGAAGAAAAATTATTAGAAATGCAGATTTCTAGACTCCAGATTTCACTGAATCTGATTCAGTAACTCTAGAATAGACTCAAGAATCCACATTGTGGCACATTATGTACTGGCCATATTCACAAGAATTTAAAGCTGAGGGGTGTTAAATTAGCTGTTAACCTACAATAGGTTCTACAGATAAAAGTAGCACCTGATATTTTGATAAACAAGAGACAGTACAAAAGATGAGCTTTGAATATTAGATTTCTGAAGAGGTACCTAATGGAAGTCTCTAGAGGATAAACTGAAGCACTTGGAAGAAGGCAGCACACAACAGAAAAGGAAAAGTGAAACCAAGGAAACTTTAATTTATGTAACAATTTTCCTCAGGACTGGCTGTGTTCCTGGTTGGGGGTTGGCATCGAGATGGAGCTGTGGGAAACTTCTTTTTCTCTCCCAACTACGAATTGCCTCTGCTTTCCTACATATAAAGTTGGAAGAGGAGAAGAGGGAGGAAGTCATAACATTCTCATGGAATAATATGAATAAATCTGGCTAATATGTGAAAGAATTAAGATATAAATAGAATTCAAACAAAGTTTTCAACACAGAAGTCCATAACTGGAAGTCTCCCTTTTATGCTGTTGCTTTCTCTAGAGAGGAGGCTGAGAGAACTGTTTTTTCTGTACACTGTCACTGTTAGTAATAATTCCCACAGATCGTCTCATACACCAAAGAGATCATGTTCAAAAGTGAAAAATGATTCAATAAGTTCATTTTAAGGCTTATCCAAAAGTCTATTCAATCCCTGGGCTCTTTGTACTTGCAAAAACTTAATTTGCCTACCAGATAAAATGCTTGTTCTACTTCACTGTATTCATTACATTCCCATCAGAAGGCAGAAATCACACAGTAATTTGAACAGGAAGGGTTCATTATAAAGAAATGGCAACAGAGGATTGGAGTGATAGGGAAGTGGCTATGGTTGGGGGACTCTCAGGGAAACCCAGGCTTACTGAGGGACAATACTCAAGGAAGGAACAAACTTGGACAGATAGAGTTCTCCCCAACTGGAATTCACATCTCACTGTAGAGGTTATATCTGGAGCCCACTGGATATTGGAAAAGTTTGCCAGAAAGGACCCTCCATTGTTACTTAGCCCAACTGACAACTGCCTTTCAGGATACTGATGGAAGTCACTGCAAAGCTGCCTGTTCAGATTGTCATGCCTCGCTGTGAGACAGCTTGAGCATCATCCGGACTAACAAGAAAGCCACCAATAGTGTCAGGGCATGAGAAGGGGTTGCTGCTGATTCACTGGGAAATAAATTTGCTCGTGAGTCCATGAAACTTATAAATTTCCCTCAAGGGTGCCTCTGAACTTGTTGCTGGGAACTGCCAGAGGGTTTATGCTGGGGGAAGCTGTACTAATTGCTGTTCCAGGTCCGGACACTGGCGGGGGCAAAAAAGGGAGAAAAAGCCATTTACTCCACAAAAGATAAGCACATCTGAACCAGAAAGAAAAAAAAAAAAACCCTCCTCCATCACCCAATGCTGACAGTGTTTAACAAGGCCCATGTTTGTTATCACAGCTGGTCAGCCAGAAAGAGCTGATATTGTCCCACCAGATCTTTCATGAGAAAATTCAATGCTTAGTAGTTTACAGCAATTATTTAGTGGCATTATCAACAATTCTTTCATTTCAATGTTAAGTCTGTATACCTACAACTTTTCTAGTTGAAAACTTTATAGCCATCTCTGCATTATTTTGAAAGAGCTCTATCCAAGCTTCTGCAAAAAGAAAACCCTGAGCAAATTTTCTTCAATGGTTCCTATTCATTCCATTCAAAACAAAATTTCTTCAATTTGTTAGAGAATAACATCTAAAATTTCTCCGTGCTTATTCTAGAAGCACCCAGAGTTTCTTTCATGCAAAATTGAAAGTAAATGTAAATGAATCCTGTTCACTAAAAGTTAACCACTAAGCACACATTTGAAAGTCCCTCAAGATACGTATTTAAGACTTCAGTGAGAATTTTGAAATTTATGCTTCCATGCTCATATTTTCAAGTAAGAAAATAATATTAAAAACCACATCCAGCGATGCTGAGAGTCATTCAGCCTTGAGTACTTTTGATAACTAGGAGTTTTGTGATAGTTTTTGATTCAGAGGAAGATTAAGGGTTTTTAGATCTCCCAATATAATATCAGGTACCAGGATGGAAATAACAACAAAATATCTCCCTCATTTGTGGCTCTTCTCTTCCAAGGCAGACACATCAGTTACTTGAATCCCTGAGGAAAGGCAAAAACGAAGAGGGTCATGGAGTTATTCTGGGACCTGAGGACATCCAAAGGCTGCTTTGTTCAAGTTATGACATGGTGGACAGGGGTGGAGAGCTAGGGCCTTTAAGACTTTTAAGTAACTCCATGTAGTGAAGTTAATGAAGAGTACAATACCAGTTAATGAAGAGTATCTGTTTTCGAGTAAGAGAGCACCAAGGGACAATCAGCCCCTTGACATATTGAGTTCCACTAGCCATGCCAGTCAAGAAGTACCATCTTCAAGTGTCTTGTGAGGGGTCACAGAGCTCACTAACAGAGTAGAAGAAAATGAGGTCACAGTTTGTGAATTTGTATGCGGTGGTCCTGGGAACTACTAAAAAATGATTAGATGAAGTTTATTGGGTGGTAGTGTTTCTGCATTATTCCAAGGGAACAGAGGCCAGTGGTTTATTAAAACTACCCTCTTTCTAGCTAAAGCAGAGGAAAACCCCATAGTTTCAGATATATTCTAAAATCACATCACCATTTAAGACCCCTTTTCTGAACTCAGATCATGTATCCAACTCCCTACTTAATATTACTTGATATTACAATTATCTCACAAACACCTCTAACACAGTGACAGAATGGGACTTACTGTATTTTCCCCAAACCCAACCCCTCCATATCTCATTGAGTGCTAGAGTCACCTAATACTGAAATTCTCAACTTTGAGTGGTACAATACACCAGATATGCTCTTAATATAGATAAAAACATCAAGAAGATTTGATCGTGTGACCACAGAACCATGAGACTTTTGATTGGAGAAATGGCGGCTAAAACCTTGTTAAGACACTAAATGACTTCTTGGAACTGTACTTATCTGCAAAGGAAACCTGCCTGCCTATGAATATTTTTGAAGAAAATGTATTCTCTTATAATCTAGAGGAGAAAGACAAAAGGAAAAGAAAATAAAAGGGATAGGAATTTATTTAGTCATTCATTTACTAAATAACTTAGAGTACTACATGCACAAAAAATTTAGGGTCACATTTCTCAAAGTGTGTAAAAGAATCTGACATACAAATTCACCAATTAAGAGAATTAAAAGAAAGAAAATGGCCTCTGAAATTTCAAAGCAGTAAATGATTATATAGGGACTAGTTTATTGCTGGTTATTTTGTCTCATTCTCTACTATATAGACATTTATAGTAAAGGCATGGAACCAAAAATAAACTTTCAAAGAGAAGATAAAAGTACATGAAGATAGTAGGAAAAAAGTAATCTCTAAAACTCATCTGGAATCCTCATTCTTTCTGAGTTAATCATAATCAGAGCTGACATTTAACACTTACTATATCTATTGAAGACTTTAATATGTTTTGTCATATAAGCATTACAAGCATTCTGTGAAGTACTATTATTTTTCATGCAGTCATTCAGAAAATGTTTATAATGCAATGACCACAGTCACTCTAAAGGACAGGAATAAATTATGAAGATATAGGTAAGTTCCCTGCTCCTTTAGAGACAAAGAAAATGCACACATTCAGTAAATATGTGAACTGAAGGCTTTGACAACTGAGATATAAACATTCATTTGTATCTCAATGATCTCAAGTTGACAAGCAATAATATGATGCAGAGCTTGGATGTGAACAGCGATCATAGGTTAATTGCAAAGTTGCTGTTCTTCACTGGGTTATATACCCCCTTTTATAGATGAAAATGTCAAATTTGAATAATTTCATATGCCTCAATTTGTATTTGAACATATCCTTTCCATAAATCTTAGTTCCTTTTCTTCATTCTTAATAACACTGCCTCCCAGAATTACTTATGATTGTTGCGAAATTAAGAATTAAACCCCATTTCAGATGAATCACTTTACAAGGGGCCCTATAATTTGATAATGACTTTTTGATCCTTCTAAAAATATGAAATGTGGTTTGTTTTAGCCAAGTAAGAGAAAGAAAATGGTCTCTGAAACTTCAAAGCAGCAAATGATTGTATAGGGACTAGTTTATTGCTGGTTATTTTGTCCCATTCTCTACTATATAGATAATGGCATCCCAGTTTGGCTAAGACAAAGATGATTTCATAACAGTTTTCTTATCCTAGCTTGTGTTTTTTTTTTAAATATATATTTGTATAGTCAAAAACCAAGTCTAGACATTTTGGACATAAAACAGAGTTGAATGTCAAGGACAATACTGTTCTCTGAGCTGAAAATAATTCATATATTTTGTGAATCAAAATAACCTATTAGAAGAGTCCTAGAGCATTCTGAGGAACATTATCATCTAAAAACCTAAACGAGGGCCCTGCAGAGAAATAATTCAGTAAATATATACACACACGTGGATTTACATTTCTCTCAAAATATATTCTCTAGCAAGGGTTTTCTCATATTTGTCACTATTAACAGATTGGGCGAGATAATTATTTGATGTGTGTGTATCAGGATAGG